TATCTCAAGTCTGTAACACAGTGACATATAGACATATACTCTATCTCAAGTCTGTAACACAGTGACATATAGACATATACTCTATCTCAAGTCTGTAACACAGTGACATACTCTATCTCAAGTCTGTAACACAGTGACATATAGACATATACGTAACAACCTCGCCTTTACAATGTCCTTTTGTTATATAATGTAGCAACGGTTGAAGTTACAAAACTTGTTCTATCATAACTCACATTTCATTATCCTAATAAGTGCCCCCATTTAAGTTGATGTTCAAGTGGCCTGGATACAAATTAAAGCAGGTACGGTATCCAAAAATGGTAATAAAAATTCCACCAGAAGACAGAATATTGATAGTTTAATTAACATGACATAAGCTATGAATTGAATACCAGATTGAATTTAGTTTTCTGGGATAATTGACTCCCATCAACCAGGATACTGATGATGTCGGAGCACCACTACACCACCTTGATGGTGTAAGGTACTTTTGTTTGTTTGTTTGTTTGTTTGATTTTGTTTAACGTCCTATTAACAGCTAAGGTCATTTAAGGATGGCCTCCCCTGTGTGCAAGATGCATGTGTGTGTATTTTGGGAGGCTGCGATATGTTCGTGTTTGTCTCCTTGTGATAGCGCGGAACTGATGCCGACTTTATACTCAGGTACTAGAAAAGTACACTAAGAGTTGATATTTTCCTTTGATGTATGAACAAAGACACTCCAAACTAACATGATTGTAAAGACAACTATTTAATTAAAATGTTTGAAATCTTCCCAGGGAAAGTATAAAGCAATCAATAACATAATCAAATCACTGTTTTCGCTAACAGTGAAATATTGTGGTTTGTTTTAATCAAGATTGATACAATCGTTTCTACGACCTGTTTATGTCTTGTACATTTGTTACAAACATGCAGAAGGAAAAAGCATGGAGAAGTAAAGTGTTTTAAATAGAATGCTAGACAGATTTGGTAACCTTAGGTTACAGGAAGTTATTTTGTGAATTGATATAGTAGCTACTCCTGTGATGAGGGATGTTTACATGCTACATATATGCTGAATTTACCATTACCAACATTCTGTACATGTACATGTTTACACCAATGATATATTTATGGGTGCGGAGGGGCTTCTGTGGGCTTCAGGATACCATATCATTTATCTGTCATATGGAAAAAAGGAAAGAAAATGTGATATTTTTTAAATTCTTTCTTTTGGATCCCCCCAATTTGATGTGGTAACTGACAGGATCTTTGATAACGAAACATAACCCTAATTTAGTTGAGGGTCTATATATAGTTATCGATTTGTCAGTGTCCGTGTGTGCATCCATGTGTCCATCTGTCGTAAATAGCTTGTGTACAAGATATCTCATTAACCCCTCAAGGTAAGAGGGTCAAAGGTCACATTCAATCACTGTTGAAGCAAAAAATTGTACGAGATGTCTCACAAAACCCTCAACACTTTTAGTTACACCGTAGTTTAGCATCAAGTTCCACACCTGATTAGATGTTGGAGCTCATCAGTCACAGTTAAAAACTTAAAGGTATACTTGACCACTAAAAGGTATACTTGACCACTTAAAGGTATACTTGACCACTTTTGAATTAAAAAAAACAACACATACAAGATGTTTTATGAATCGCACAACAGATTTGGATATTTACCCAATAGTATGATAAAACTGAGTTCTTTGTCAGATAAGAACTTAATGTTTGTTGGTCAGTGTCAAAGGTCAAACTTGACCACTGTTGATTTTTTAAACGCTGACATCTTAGTGCTGATCATGTAGAACTCTTATTTTTGTCAAATCTCAAGTCAATATGCAAGGGAAATTGATCACAAAAATCTAACTGATATATTCTGCTACTGAAATGCAGGTAAATATATTATTGGCCTTTTCACATATTCAAATCCTCGCAAACACCTAGCTATGGCATAAAGGAGTAAATTATATGTGTGTGCTATGAATACTGGCAGCAAATTTAATTAGAGGACAACCCTACTGTGTTGTGAGATTGGGGGCAATATATCATGATTAGAATGTTGCAAATTGAGTTTTATTAGTGACATAAAGTCATATAATCTAAATTGGTGACTGTAGGTCATTTGTTGTGTGTTTTTGAGAAATCTAGGTCACTGTGCTTTGGGTTAGTGACATCGGTAAGAGTCAAAGTGAGACAGAACTCAACATTGACCTTTCAGGGTCACATTGTTGTTCCTGATTATCATTTACAATAAATTTCATGATGTGTTGGGATCAATGTTGCCAGGATCACTCATAATCATCTTCTAGGCTTCATTTACAAATATAATATATTGTGTTATACTTTCACCAATTATTCAAATTGACCTATCAAATACTGTGATACATGTACATCGCCAATGACTTAGAATTATATTTGCCGCATATAACTTTGACTAGCATTCTTTTTTGAAAAAGTTCCACCCCGTAAGACCTATTTGATACTAAGTAAGTTGGACTAGGTTGATGACACATTTGAAAGTTAAACATTACATGCGGTGGAATGCTTTCATAACATTAAGTAATGCTGAATTATTAAATAGTTCAAATTTTGAAAGGGGAATAACTCTAAATGGGTAATAAATTATTTAAGGATTAACTTGAATATATTTTTCATGTTATGGAGATATAACAAAAAAAAACGGAGAGTACTGATGAGAGTACGGAAACTCCGTTTTTTTGTGTTATAGCTCCATAACATGAAAAATATATTCAAGTTATTCCTTATAATTTAATCTACTATACACAATCCCTGTGGGAATCCAATTTTATTGATGGACTCTTTTCTCTTAGAAATTATTGCGCTGCTGTATCAGCCAATCAAAAGCGACGTTACAAACGGCAACATCATTTTTTACGTTATGGGCTGATAACATAAATCTTTAAGCCAATGAAAATGCTTGTTAAAAACAAGATTAAATTATATATAAATATATCTTTTTAATCTGATGATTTCTTATAATTTCAGAGGCACGGTCCCAGTAACACCCTGAGGTACCTCGTACGAGATATCAAAAAGGTAATCAGTACTGCTCTACCAGTACTTAATTGTACAAATTGTTATGCTTTTCTCCCATATTGATAGCAAAGGCAATAACAAATAATATTTATAGGTCATGATTATGATGTAACATTGAAATATTTAAATCTTGATGACTATCCTGCTCAAAGATTCAGTTTGTATATAATACAATGCTGTGCTATTAGATACTGTATTAAATTCATGGGGTTTAACATTAATAAGATTCCTCTATTTAGAATAATTGATTACAACTAAGACTGTGCTATCACTTTTCTTTACGGAAGTCTTGTAAATGACCTGATGTGATCATTGATACCAGAAATTTGTTTCCTGTATTCGTAATATATTTTCACCAAATGATCACACCCTAAGTGAGTTAAGAGAAACATAAATTTCACTGTATATGGACAGTTGATGATAGAGAATGTCCGTTTTCACTGCATGTAGAAGTATGACATTCTTGCAGTAAAACATATTACTTCCTAAAAGAGAAACAACTTTTGTTATTAATGGTGGTGTAGTTTTCCTTGGGGATTACACTGTTGTTAAACCCTTGTTGTTTTGTCCACTGAGATCCATTTTAGCACACCTTTATGTGTGAATTACTGATGTTCTTGCAGCATGTGCCCTCCCATTACCGGTACAACTTGATTGACATAGGCGCCGTCATCGAGCACCTGATGGACGGGGCCTTCCGCGCCTCTTACTGTCGCAAACGGTTCAGGCAGAAATACAACGCCATCAAGCGTAATGTATGTTAAAAGGAAGTGCTGTGATAAATCACTCTTCCTCATTATTTCTAACACTTATAAGCTCATTACAAATGATCATTATCTTAACAGTGTCTTTACTTCTCCAAATTTATCGTTGATTTTTGTGTATAATTTATTGTTTATTTTTGTGCGTAATTTCTCCAGAAAAGGAGGCAGGTTTCTGTCTGTTAATTCTCTAGAAATTATGGGATATTTTTGTTCTTTTTTTTTCTCCAAATTGTCTCTGATTTTATCAAAACATTTGTAGTTTTAGCGATATTAGGATGACAGCACCTCGTCAACCATCCTGTCTCTACCTTAAATTTGTCTCCAGAACATTCGGAGGAGCCTACACGCACCGAACCACTTGTAGATTGCTGTAGAAATGTGCACATTGGGGTGACATTGACATGTCATAACATTGCATGAAATTAAACCTTTACGTAACATCTGCCATCAACTTTGAAAGATGATAACAGGATAGTGGAGGTCATTTGCACTTAACTGCCTGTCTAATTCCTACATGAGAGCCTTATCTTCTCCCCCCCCCCCTTTTACATTACCACACAAAGACTGCTGGGTCTGTTACAACACTGACAGGATGTGTCATTATTTACCTTACTTCACCTGTCATCTCTCACCAGTAGTTAGTGCGGAGTGAACATGTGTTAACAGATATCATAGGTAATACAATGTACCTTCAAATCTCTAGCTTCTGTCTCAAAGGGCAGGAAAGGAAAGAGGAAAAAAGGAAATGCCATGCCTGATAGCTCTGCTAGGCTCGTTAAAATTGCATGCAGGCTAGTAAATTAGAAGTCACTAGCTGACGTAGCTTTTTGGATGTCATTTTATATTTATACCTGTATAAAGAATTTTTGTCATTAGGGTAAGAATTCTGACAAAAATTGAATTTAGAATCCTGATTTAAATAAAACAACAAAATTGAGCATATAATTTTTTTAGTTAATTCTATATATATATATTCATGCTAATGATGTTTTAGATGTAATTTTTTATTGTATTTTTGCCAGTGAAATATTGGATTCTATCAACTTGATAAAACTGATATTTTTCACACTGTGACAAATATCAAAAGTGATTGGTATTGACCAATCATAACGGTATCTTCTATTGGCTGCATTCAAAGGCAACAATTTTTTGTTCAGATTCAAATGAAGCGACGGTAGAATAAGTTGTTCTTATGGTAAATGTTGGGTACACACACTTAAGTACTTACATAAATATACAATTAATAACATTTTTATAAGCAATCATACTAGAAAATGATGGAATTGCATTGAGTATCCCATTAAAAGTGGCGCGCAGCCTTGTTGTCAAGCGTGACATCATTAGAATATGACGCTAATTATTCAGCCTTGTTGTCAAGCGTGACATCATTAGAATATGACGCTAATTATTACACTTCTGATTCTCGCCCTTTTTTTAATGCATTACATTTTTCTTGTTTTATGCTTTTAAAAAATGTCATAAATAGAAAATTTAATGGTGTCTTCAGTAATAGCAAATTTATTTCATGAGTGTAGCTAATATGTTCTTGTGAAAAATATCAAAATATTAGCCACATTCGTGAAATATATTTGTTATTACTGAAGACACCATTTAATATCCTCTGTATATTAATACCTGTATAAAGAATTTTGGGTCACCTGAGACAAAGTTTAAGTGACCTATTGCGATCGCCTTTTGTCTGGCGGCGTCCGTCTGTAAACAATTTACATTTTCAAATTCTCTTCTGAACCAGTTGTAACAAAATTTTGCAGGAACTTTCCACGGCCAAAGGTGAACCAAAATTGTGAACTGTATGGTCCTAAGCTCCCAGGGGCCTGAGGGGCGGGGCCAAAAATAGTCAAATTGACTAAAATTTCAAAAATCTTTTTCTCAATTAAGACCCAGATATGGTAGAATCGAATACTCTTCATTGATGGAAGGGTTTTAAGGTGCTCTACCAAAAGTGTGAATTTTATGACCCTAGGGCCTCACATTTCCCCCTTGGGAAGGGGGGGGGGGGATTTATTATGGTTTATATTGGCAAATGATACTTTGGATATTACATGTTGATAACTTGATTGAAATTATAACCCTGAGTTGACAGTTTGATACTTTGAAAATTTTGAGCCAGCCCTACCTACCCCCAAGGGCTGTAGGGCGAGGCTCAAAGGAGTCAGTGTGCTAAAATTTCTTCTTTTTCCTTGTTTGGAATCAGATGTGCTAGTTTCAAATACTTTTCAGTCTTCAATCTGTATGCTAGATATTGAATAAGGTGGATTTATTGTTTTTTGTTACTTTGAATAATATTTCTTTCTTTAAAAACAAAAATCAACTCTCTATAAATATATCAGAACTCAGGTGACCGTTAAGGCCCTTGGGCCTCTTGTTGTCATTTAGGTTAAGAATTCTGACAAAAATAAAATTAAGAATCCTGATTTGAATAAAACAACACAATTGAGCTTTAAATTGTTTTAGTTCTATGTGACCATTGTAAGACACTGAATATCAATCAGGTAAATTGTTTTAACTTTAGACTTTACAAAAAACATTCCAGTCATCTAATAAAAATTAACGCAAATAGTGTGTATCTTTTTCTAATTTTGATTTTGACAAAATAAATCCCAACAAAATCGTCTTGGTAATTTATGATATTAAAATTGTGGGTATTTTTATTTTGGTCCAGAGAGTTTCACCTTTAGTGGAACAAAGGGCTTATGAATTTCAGAATCTCGTTCCTGCCTTGTCAAAAGGCGATGGCAGTCAAAAATCATAATCAGATTTTGGTCAAACATTTTTGAACACCTGTGAATTTAATGGATAAACATCTTAGAATGTATCACAGCAAAATCAAATATTATGAAAAGACAAGCAAAATGTGATCCAGTGATTCATAACTGTTTAATGGTAACCTCTGATAACTTCTGTGAAGGCACAAAAAATTGCCTTTCAGAAAAAATGCAAAATGCATGAAAATATCTGTCTAGAATTTTTAGTCTCGTTTGGTACAAACACACATTGCTATATCAGGGAGACATATTTGCAGTTTTAGTGTACCAGGTATATTGAACTATTTTGATGCATCATTTTGATACGGATCAGGCAGTTACAGTGTAACTATCAAATGATAAGATTCTACGGTCTCCTACATACAAATACACATTGATATATAAGGGAGACATACTGATGTGGATATATAGTTCTATATTGAATTACTATAGTTAATCATTATTTACAAATAGGAAGTCTTGGAACTAAATGAAAACGACTGACCACACACAGAGCGGAAGAGCATCCTTGGGAGTCTATTGCACTTCAGTGTTTGTGAATGCTCCTGATTTGACTCTGTGACAGGGCGTAGCTGGTAACTTGGTGACATTGCTTTATGAACGTTTCTGATATGTATGTGTTTTATGTGACAGGGCGTCGCTGGTAACTTGGTGACATTGCTTTATGAACGTTTCTGATATGTATGTGTTTTATGTGACAGGGCGTAGCTGGTAACTTGGTGACATTGCTTTATGAACGTTTCTGATATGTATATGTTTTATCTGACAGGGCGTAGCTGGTAACTTGGTGACATTGCTTTATGAACGTTTCTGATATGTATGTGTTTTATGTGACAGGGCGTAGCTGGTAACTTGGTGACATTGCTTTATGAACGTTTCTGATATGTATATGTTTTATCTGACAGGGCGTAGCTGGTAACTTGGTGACATTGCTTTATGAACGTTTCTGATATGTATGTGTTTTATGTGACAGGGCGTAGCTGGTAACTTGGTGACATTGCTTTATGAACGTTTCTGATATGTATATGTTTTATCTGACAGGGCGTAGCTGGTAACTTGGTGACATTGCTTTATGAACGTTTCTGATATGTATGTGTTTTATGTGACAGGGCGTAGCTGGTAACTTGGTGACATTGCTTTATGAACGTTTCTGATATGTATATGTTTTATCTGACAGGGCGTAGCTGGTAACTTGGTGACATTGCTTTATGAACGTTTCTGATATGTATGTGTTTTATGTGACAGGGCGTAGCTGGTAACTTGGTGACATTGCTTTATGAACGTTTCTGATATGTATATGTTTTATCTGACAGGGCGTAGCTGGTAACTTGGTGACATTGCTTTATGAACGTTTCTGATATGTATGTGTTTTATGTGACAGGGCGTAGCTGGTAACTTGGTGACATTGCTTTATGAACGTTTCTGATATGTATATGTTTTATCTGACAGGGCGTAGCTGGTAACTTGGTGACATTGCTTTATGAACGTTTCTGATATGTATGTGTTTTATGTGACAGGGCGTAGCTGGTAACTTGGTGACATTGCTTTATGAACGTTTCTGATATGTATATGTTTTATCTGACAGGGCGTAGCTGGTAACTTGGTGACATTGCTTTATGAACGTTTCTGATATGTATGTGTTTTATGTGACAGGGCGTAGCTGGTAACTTGGTGACATTGCTTTATGAACGTTTCTGATATGTATATGTTTTATCTGACAGGGCGTAGCTGGTAACTTGGTGACATTGCTTTATGAACGTTTCTGATATGTATATGTTTTATCTGACAGGGCGTAGCTGGTAACTTGGTGACATTGCTTTATGAACGTTTCTGATATGTATGTGTTTTATGTGACAGGGCGTAGCTGGTAACTTGGTGACATTGCTTTATGAACGTTTCTGATATGTATATGTTTTATCTGACAGGGCGTAGCTGGTAACTTGGTGACATTGCTTTATGAACGTTTCTGATATGTATGTGTTTTATGTGACAGGGCGTAGCTGGTAACTTGGTGACATTGCTTTATGAACGTTTCTGATATGTATATGTTTTATCTGACAGGGCGTAGCTGGTAACTTGGTGACATTGCTTTATGAACGTTTCTGATATGTATGTGTTTTATGTGACAGGGCGTAGCTGGTAACTTGGTGACATTGCTTTATGAACGTTTCTGATATGTATATGTTTTATCTGACAGGGCGTAGCTGGTAACTTGGTGACATTGCTTTATGAACGTTTCTGATATGTATGTGTTTTATGTGACAGGGCGTAGCTGGTAACTTGGTGACATTGCTTTATGAACGTTTCTGATATGTATATGTTTTATCTGACAGGGCGTAGCTGGTAACTTGGTGACATTGCTTTATGAACGTTTCTGATATGTATGTGTTTTATGTGACAGGGCGTAGCTGGTAACTTGGTGACATTGCTTTATGAACGTTTCTGATATGTATATGTTTTATCTGACAGGGCGTAGCTGGTAACTTGGTGACATTGCTTTATGAACGTTTCTGATATGTATGTGTTTTATGTGACAGGGCGTAGCTGGTAACTTGGTGACATTGCTTTATGAACGTTTCTGATATGTATATGTTTTATCTGACAGGGCGTAGCTGGTAACTTGGTGACATTGCTTTATGAACGTTTCTGATATGTATGTGTTTTATGTGACAGGGCGTAGCTGGTAACTTGGTGACATTGCTTTATGAACGTTTCTGATATGTATATGTTTTATCTGACAGGGCGTAGCTGGTAACTTGGTGACATTGCTTTATGAACGTTTCTGATATGTATGTGTTTTATGTGACAGGGCGTAGCTGGTAACTTGGTGACATTGCTTTATGAACGTTTCTGATATGTATATGTTTTATCTGACAGGGCGTAGCTGGTAACTTGGTGACATTGCTTTATGAACGTTTCTGATATGTATGTGTTTTATGTGACAGGGCGTAGCTGGTAACTTGGTGACATTGCTTTATGAACGTTTCTGATATGTATATGTTTTATCTGACAGGGCGTAGCTGGTAACTTGGTGACATTGCTTTATGAACGTTTCTGATATGTATATGTTTTATCTGACAGGGCGTAGCTGGTAACTTGGTGACATTGCTTTATGAACGTTTCTGATATGTATGTGTTTTATGTGACAGGGCGTAGCTGGTAACTTGGTGACATTGCTTTATGAACGTTTCTGATATGTATATGTTTTATCTGACAGGGCGTAGCTGGTAACTTGGTGACATTGCTTTATGAACGTTTCTGATATGTATGTGTTTTATGTGACAGGGCGTAGCTGGTAACTTGGTGACATTGCTTTATGAACGTTTCTGATATGTATGTGTTTTATCTGACAGGGCGTAGCTGGTAACTTGGTGACATTGCTTTATGAACGTTTCTGATACGTATATGTTTTATGTGACAGGGCGTGGCTGGTAACATGGGCAATCTGGTCACCACACTGCCCCTGTTTCTGGACACTAAGGAGGCTCAGGAGCTCTTCCCTTACCCCTTCCACGACCTCATGATCTGGGCCGTCCTGATGAAGCGACAGAAGATGGCACTGTTTATGTGGCAGCATGGAGAAGAAGCCATGGCCAAGGTACTCGCTTGGCCCAGGGGAGATAACTGGGATACTGGCAAAGAAAGCAGTCTCTTGCAAATCTGATGGTCTTATTATAGATTTACCATTAGGAGGGTTTTGTCATTTATGTTTTTATATCTGAGAGCATTATGTATATAAAATGTAGTATATATGTAATTTTTGAGATGTTTGTATCCCATCATTTCAGTTTTCTTTTCTAAATTAGCAACATTTCTTTCAACAATTGTTTGCATCTTTGTCTAACAGTGAGAAATTCTACAATCTCCCTTACGGTGGAGTATGTTCATATAAATAAAACCTTTGCTATAAATAAGGAGTTAGCAATCATTATTTACTGGGTGCCAAGTTTTGACATGCTGTTGATCTGTTTAGGCCCTGATGGCCTGTAAGCTGTATAAAGCTATGTCACACGAGGCTGACTCTGATGATCTCGAGGTGGATATCTCAGATGAACTCAGGTCTTATGCAAAGTAAGTGGCTACCCCTTGTCATTTAGAAATAGTTTTTATCATCTCAGCTTTTTTTTTTTTTTTTTGTATCTAAGGACAAAAATATTTACAAAGATACCAATTATTGGTTTGAGAATTTACCCTAAAGAACATTCATGAATTTGTTACAGAGATCTTTTTTCATACTTATGTAGTGTAAATAACTTATTTCTACCTCTTACATATGGTGCCCCAGCCCTGGCAACCCCTATCAAAAAATTCATATGTGTATAGATATATCTATGCTTGCTTGATAGCAGTATATATATACATATTTATGGATAAAAATGGCTGGGGAAATAAAATATTTGGGGAAAAAACACTATATCATCAAACCTACAAATGCATAAAAAGGATTTTATTTTATTTAGGGAATTCCAAGTGTTGGCGTTGGGGTTACTGGAGCACTGTTACAAGATAGACGATGACTACACTCAACAGCTGCTCACTTATGAACTCAAGAATTTCAGCGACCAGACTTGTCTGAGTCTGGCTGTGGCAGCTAACCACCGAGAGTTTGTAGCTCACACCTGTTGTCAGATCCTCCTCAATGACATGTGGATGGGAGGTCTACAGATGAGGAAAAACAGCAGTCTCAAGGTCAGTCCTTATTCTCCCTACAATGCAGTAACTTTGTCCTTATCACGCCATACTGTCACATGTTCCTACAATGCAGTACCTTTGTCCTTATGACGCCGTACTGTCACATGTCCCTACAATGCAGTACCTTTGTCCTTATGACGCCGTACTGTCACATGTCCCTACAATGCAGGACCTTGGTCCTTATGACGCCGTACTGTCACATGTCCCTACAATGCAGGACCTTGGTCCTTATGACGCCGTACTGTCACATGTCCCTACAATGCAGGACCTTGGTCCTTATGACGCCGTACTGTCACATGTCCCTACAATGCAGTACCTTGGTCCTTATCACGCCATACTGTCACATGTCCCTACAATGCGGTTCCATTGTCCTTATCACGCCATACTGTCACATGTTCCTACAATGCAGTACCTTTGTCCTTATGACGCCGTACTGTCACATGTCCCTACAATGCAGTACCATTGACCTTATCAAGCCATACTGTCACATGTCCCTACAATGCAGTAACTTTGTCCTTATCACGCCATACTGTCACATGTCCCTACAATGCAGTACCATTGTCCTTATCACGCCATACTGTCACATGTTCCTACAATGCAGTACCTTTGTCCTTATGACGCCGTACTGTCACATGTCCCTACAATGCAGTACCTTTGTCCTTATGACCCCATACTGTCACATGTCTCTTTTTCAGAAGAGTTGTGCACTATGAAACCTGTACAATATAGGAATGATGGTTTGAGTGATTTTTGTACTCGTAAAAAGTATACAAGAATACATGTGTTGATAACTTGTGCCAAAATGTTGATGGCATGTTTGTAAAATGTGTATGAGTTGTCCACCTTTGTGTACATACGCTTCACTGGTCAATTGTCTGATGAAGGTGACAGAGTGTATACTGTTCTAGTCATCGGAACGTTACATTGAAATACTTATTGGTTGTTAGAAATATTTCATAATCCATACATACCAATCTGGAGAAAATGTTTAAAAATATCCAAACAAAGTAGTACTCTGTGAGTTGTGTAGCATCTTTCTAATTCTGATTATTGATTACAAATTTCTTAATTGATATAATTGGTTCATTTCTGAAATCAAATTGTCAAATGTATACAGTATAAAGTATGCATAAAAAGTAATTTATTCTTTTGATTTTTACTTTTGATTGACAAAACTGCATAAAAATGGCTTAAAATCTATTTAAAGAGTGACACTTAATGTCTAGTTAACACCTTTGTTTAGTGATGTAATATAAGTGTTTTCTCTTTACTTAGGTATTCAGTCCCATAAAATTATAAACAAATTTTGCATTCGGTAGTTCTGATTATACATGTATACCGATGATCGGTTATAATCTCAAACCGATCTCCCATCACTATCACTAGGAAAGGGAAGCAACTCCTATGGGTGACATTAATGTACAGTATATAAGTAGGGATGTACAACTTTATGTCTGGCCTAGAGAAAATTTTCAATATGTACCAAAATTTTTAGCTCAGACTAGCAGATTTTTGCAAAAGCTGCCTGCAGGTTAGTGTTCAAAATATTAAATGTACATCCCTCAGTAGTATAGTAGTATGATACATGTTGTACCAGTGTGTGTTATGATATTACAATATTAATGTTATGATATGTATATTTTGGAAACATTCACAGGTAATTATGGGTATACTGATTCCCCCTTATATTCTGGCCCTGGAGTTTAAGAGTAAAGAGGAGCTACAGTTGATGCCCCAGACAATGGAGGAACACTTGGATGAGCTGGAGAACCAGGCCAGTGAGGAAGGAGACCTGTCCTTCAGTGAGGACATCAACGAGGACCATGTTAATGAGGTAAGTTTGTGAAAGGGGGAACACCTGTCCTTTAGTGAGGACATCAACGAGGACCAGGTTAATGAGGTAAGTTTGTGTGAGGGGGAAAACCTGTCCTTTAGTGAGTACATCAACGAGGACCATGTTAATGAGGTAAGTTTGTGAAAGGGGGAACACCTGTCCTTTAGTGAGGACATCAACGAGGACCAGGTTAATGAGGTAAGTTTGTGTGAGGGGGAACACGTGTCCTTTAGAGAGGACATCAGCGAGGACCATGTTAATGAGGTAAGTTTGTGTGAGGGGGAACACCTGTCCTTTAGAGAGGACATCAGCGAGGACCATGTTAATGCAGTGCTATTAATTGTTTTCATTAAAATGATCTTTACCTACTATCAAGGTCAGTACGGTCAAATATGTTAAAACCTTCATAATATCCTAAGAACCATTTGAACTAAAGTCATGCTACTTGGGTAGGTTATGAAGAGCAGCAGTGCAATTATTTTTTCTTAATTACAGTAATGAAGTCAAAGGTCAACTTTAAGTGCTAGTTGGGGGTCTAATGTCAACTTTGGTTTAAAGCTTTAACAATCTTCTTCTCAAGTTCCATAAGGCCAAGGGTCATGATAATTGTTTTCTTTGTTAAAGTAATGAGGTCAAAGGTCAACTTTAAGTGTAAGTCAGGGGTCGAAGATCAATATGGGTTAAAAGCTTCAAAATTATAATTCAAAATTTCAAACAACAATATCTTCAGAACCGTTTAAGAGATGTTAAAATGTCTTGTGTTATAGTTACCAAATTTGGTCTTTAGTTACCTATATGTCAGTTTCATGCAACAAAAGAAACAGGTGAGCGATATAGGCCCTCTGAGCCTCTTGTTTCAAATATGTTATTGATAGGAGAAAAAGAATCATCGCCATTGTTACAGTGAGGATATGATGGAGAAATCTCAACCTTCAGTTGACATTCTTTAATGTCTAAACATAGGCTTGAAGTAAGACTAAGGTTAGGCTATTTATAAATATCACCCCTCAGGGTGATCTCTGTCTGTTATGCCCTCATGGTAGGGAAAGGTTGTATTATTTAGTAAGGAGGACCATGTCAAAGAAGTTAACTTTAGTTGAGAGGGAGATGTGTCCTTCAGCAAGAAAATGTTGAGTCAGTGAAACTGACTATACGATAGATGGAATTAGTTGTTAGTTAGATAACAATGGTTGGTGTGGAAGATGTGTTGTTGATGTCAATTTTTTTACCTCCTTTCAGAACCTGTACATAGATGACGTCAATGTAGAGACGAGCTTCCATTCGTCCAGCCAGGGCTTCCCCAGAGAGAACGGGTCCATCCACAACGAAAGTAACCAGGAATACTCACAATTCACGATAAAGAAGAAGAAAAGCCCATTACGACTCGGCAAGAGGATCTATGAGTTTTATAATGCACCGATCACTAAATTTTGGTTTTATACTGTAAGTATGACATGCCATCCATTTCTGTCATGTCACACTTAGTCCAGACTATATATTGGTCCATATCTTCTATACTTTCTGTCATGTCACACTTAGTCCAGACTATATATTGGGCCATATCTTCTATACTTTCTGTCATGTTACACTTAGTCCAGGTATGTCTTCTACGCAATTCCACCTGGAGTAACCAGATCTTGTATGCATTAGTACATCATAGAATTATTTCACTATGACCTTTGCTATGACCTTTGACCTCAACCTTTGAAAAAGTGTGCATATATTATATACTATATTTTCACCTGGAGTAATCAGATTTGGTATGCAAGTGTGTGTTGGCTGTCAGTGGCCGAGTAAGGTGTACAAGAAGTATGAGACTGAACTATAACCCGAGATAGGTGTACAGCTTGGTAAAAACAGAAATCATTACTGGTGGAGAACTATGGATTGTCTTGCAGTCCTTTGTCTTGCTTTGTTTTACTTTGTCATATCCTGCAATACATTTTATTATCAGATCGCCAATGCTCTTTTCCTATCATGTTGTATATTATATTTTCAGATGGCCTATATTGGATTCTTGATCTGTTATACATATGTTGTGTTGGTGAAGACCTCGCCAGAACCCCGGTGGCAGGAATATCTTGTCATGTCCTATATGTTTACACTGGCAATCGAAAAAATTAGACAGGTAAGGACACTTGTACCCGACTACCAAGAAAAACTGATAGGAAAATATACATACTTGTAGCCAAATAATGTATGTTTTCACTGTAATCACATTCACCACGTAACACCAACATCACAGTTTTGTATAAAGTATTGAGCTGCCTATCCACCACAGTTACGGCTTTGTGTGTAGTGTTGACATGTTTACGTGTATGTATACCCTTACCACTCCCCTCAGTATACCCTTACCACTTCCCTCAGTATACCCTTACCACTCCCCTCGGTATACCCGTACCACTCCCCTCAGTATACTCTTACCATTCCCCTCGGTATACCTGTACCACTCCCCTCAGTATACCCTTACCACTCCCCTCGGTATACCCTTACCACTCCCCTCGGTATACCCTTACCACTCTCCTCGGTATACCCTTACCACTCCCCTCGGTATACCCTTACCACTCCCCTCGGTATACCCTTACCACTCCCCTCAGAACCCTCCACCCTTCAGTGCAGTGCCACCATCCTGTACCTCAATGTATCAACACAATTGTGGTGTGTTCAACCTAACAACAGTCTCCGGCTTGTTGCACAGGAAGTGGCACTTTTAAGTATAAATGTAGTTATTGTTGATCCGCTAATGGTTTAGAAATTTAAACATTTTAATTTGTCAACATGATAATTGTATTTTATTGATACGTGTACGTTCACCTTTTGTGAGAAGCCAGTGAATCGTATATTCTGACCCTAATGTTTTGTCTGATGTTGTTTGAGTTCGTTTTAACATATCAAAATAGATAACAATAGGAATTGGGTTGTTCGTTGTCTTTAGTACTTAGTATTTCAGAAGGTAGTATTGTACCTGCCAGGCCTACAGATATAATAGTACTATTGGACTTAACATCATCTGAAATTCTTAAATCCCTATATATCTCATAGTGATTCCCCGTCGTTTATTCCTTCACGATGAAAACGCTGTAGGCATTTAGTGTTAGCTGTATCTGACCTGTCTTTACATACAACTTTTCCTGTTCCTTGATAAAAGTTGAGACAACTCTAGATCTGCTTCACCTCAAGATAGCAAGTCTTGTGATATTTTCAGGTGTCTTCATCCGAGGTCAAGGTCAATTTCAAAGGTCAAATATGCTTTCCTTTGTAACAGCCTAGATGTTTTCATTGGTGTAGAAATCTTAAAACATTAATATATTACCACAACAAAGGGCGCTGCTTACTATACTCAGGTGTTGCCAGGTCAAAGTCACCTTTAGTGGACATGTCTTCATTGTTCTACTCATAACTAGGTTTATATTGTGATGTGAACATCCATGTTTAGAAAAGCCTATTGATTAGTATTACAGACTGTATTTTATAGCATATTTTTTACAAGAGAATCAGAATATAAAAACTTAATGTAGCTATGTAGGTGATATTGATAAGGTGATTGTTATGTTGACTGTTAACACGAGGGTCGGAATAGAAAGGTCGGATGTTTCTGTGTTGGTGATACTGATCAGCTATACGGCTATTGTAATGATGCGTGTAATATCCTCTGATTACATGATGGTCATAAAATAAGGTTTTTATGAATCTAGGTGATATTGCTTAGCTGTACAAGTTTATTGTTATCTTGTTTACATGAGGATCAGAATAGAAAGGTCTGGTGTATCTGTGGGTGATATTGATAATTCACAGGCTATTGTTTTGTCGTCTGTTTACAAGAAAGTCGGAATAGAAAGGTCTTATGTATCTGTGTGATATTGATAATTTACAGGTTATTGTAATGGTGTCTGTTTACACAATGGTCAGAATATAAAGGTTTAATGTCTCTGTGTGGATGATATTGGTAAGTTAAACAGGCTATTATATTTATAATGGTGTCTGTTTACACAATGGTCAGAATATAAAGGTTTAATGTTTCTGTGTGGGTGATATTGATTAGCTGTACAGACGACTGTCTATCAGTAACACCATTGAGTTATTCCAATGTTTACCTAAATCAGTTCCTGCCATTGTGTAAGTGTAATCTTCGCCACACAATTCCATTTTAACAAGTTTTGTGCGACAACAGTGAGATCTGTAGCTATTGTCCTTGATGAATCATATTTCTCTCAAAGTCATATAGCTAATCCCAATACCATTGTTAGTGCTGTCATGTGTTGGCTATTTACTGTTATGATTTTGTTCATAAGGATGGGCCGCTGTTCTCAAATTATCTACTAAGTGTGAAAACTAATGGATTAGCACCCGATGGCATAGTCAGAGTAGCTAAACGGTTTTCAACGAGACACTCTTTATTTCATCATGCAACTGAGCTATTTTGTCAAATGTATCCAGCCCAACAAGGATATGGAGACTTTATTGTGTCTGATTAAACAAGTTGAACGAATTTGCTTGCTGGATACAATTTGCAGTTACTGTTTAAGCGAATATGAATGATTTGATATTTTTTTTATTGATGCTGCTGCATGTTTTTCAATTGCTTACAGACACTTTCAAATCAATAAGAGAAAATTAGATTTGACTACCCTGTAACAATAAGGAGGTCTAGAATACACATTTTTTTTCTATAAAATCTGAGGTCAAAAGTTTAGAAATGAATTGTTCATATGAAGCTACTTTAACGGTTTACTCTATTTACACTTAAGGGTTTACATATATCACATTATATAGGATAGGTAGGTGTATAGTCTTTTAGGTATGTTGTAGGTCAAGGTCTGAAGATGTTCCAGGAACATTTTCAAGTAGGTCAAAAATCCAATATGGCCGCCATGACATCATAGGTTAAAATCTTTAAAACCGCTATAACTCGAAAACCGTTGATTGTACAGAGTTGATGCCATTATATTGTTATGTCTCCTCTTCGAATGAAGGGAGACATATTGTATTAGTACTGGTTAATTTTCTTCTTCTTCTCATCTGACTTGTCCGGACCATAACTATTAAACCTTTAAAGATATCTTGATGAAACTTTAGGTATGCATGCATCACTAACAGGAGGTGTACAGTGCACTGAAATTAGGTCACTGTGACTTTCACCTCAAGGTCAAAGGTCAAATAAGTGCACATTTAAAGTAAATTCTTGTCCGGCCCGTAAATTTCAAAATGTTAAAGATATCTTAATCAAACTTATACCTGCATCACCCACAGAAGGTGTGCAGAGCACTGGAACTAGGTCTCGTGCCACCAAACATTTGACCTTGACCTAACAATAAAATCAGATTTTATGCCCTACTATATACAGAGTTATGGCCCTTTGTTTATTTTTAATACCGAAGTTTGTCCACGGCATAACTTCTAAACCTTCAAGATATCTTAATCAAACTTGAAGTTTACCTGCATCACTCACAGAAGGTGTGCAGTGCACTGGAATTAGGTCTCGGCGTCACTATATACAGAGTTATGGCCCTCAGTCATGATCAAACAAGGTATCAACTGACCTTTGACCCAGTGACCTTGACCTTTGGTCAGTTGATACCTAGTTTGATCGAGACGGACAGACGGATGAATTAGTATAGGGCACCCGCATCTTTGATGTGGGGCCCTAATAACATGGAAGTTAAGCCGTGGACAAACTTTGGTACATGTAATACAATTAAACAAAGGGCCATAACTCTGTATATAGTGATGCAAGAGACCTAATTTCAGTGCACTGCACACCTTCTGTTAGTGATGCAGGCATACATCAAGTTTGATTAAGATATCTTTTATAGTTTAGAAGTTATGTAGTGGACAAACTTTGGTATTAAAAATAAACAAAGGGCCATAACTCTGTATATAGTGGGGCATAAAATCTGATTTTAGTGTTGGAAATTCTGCCTTCCCAAGATACATCAATATGGTAAGTATGGTAAATGTAGGTGAAATAACATAGAACTTATGCTCTGGACAACAGTATTTAAAATATAAAAACAAAGGACCATAACTCTGTATATAGTGGGGCATAAAATCTGATTTTAGTGTTAGGTCAAGGTCAAATTTTGTATATTTTCCCTGATGAACATTTTGTTATGACATTATGAAGCAAAAGTTGGTTGGAATATAATAAAGAGTCAACTGACTTAAAGTCAAGGTCACTGGGTCAAAGGTTAAGGTCAAATTCAGTATATTTTTACTGGTGAACATTTTGTTTTGACACTTTGATGCAATGTTGGTCAAAATTAAACAAGGAGTCAATTGACCAAAGGTCAAGGTCACTGGGTCAAAGGTCAAATTTTGTATCTTTTCACTGATGAACATTTTGTTATGACACTTTGATGCAATGTTGGATAGATTTAAACAAGGGGTCATTTGATCAAAGGTCAAGGTCACTTGGTCAAAGGTCAAGGTCAAATTTTGCATCTTTTCACTGATTTACATTTTGTTATGATATTATGAAGCAAAGTTGGTTGGAATTTAATAAGGAGTCAACTGACTTAAGGTCAAGGTCACTGGGTCAACATCAAGGTCAGATATTGTATCTTTATAAGCATTGAACTGTTTTTGTATGGTATTTATGATCTATTTAGCGCATTATGATTTGTTTGCTTGCAAAGCTGTGTCATTCAAATAGATCATAAATACCATACAAAAACAGTTCAATACTTGTATTTACGTTTTCTCTGCCTCTCATGTTCTTTTTTAACTTATAATTTATATTTAAAATTAAAAATAGTTTGAACAGCGTGTTGTCGCATGCTGATTGGCAAACAAAGTAGTACTTTGAAATTTTAACAAACACTTCAATTTTATCCCACAAATCAGTATCAATACAATTGCGTATGATATTTCTATAGGGTGATTTAAATTTATCAATAGAACTCTGAGCTGAAAGTTATATTTGAAATTGTTTCGATTTTTCCCCGGAACAAATTTCGCGCATGGACAAATACAGTGAACACCGTAAATCTAACCTTGCCCTCCACGAAGGAGTTATTTTTGGAAGTTAATTCAAACTTTTCTCTTTGCTCATTTTGTGAAGAATCCAGGCATGAATGTATTTGTTGATTGTATTAGGAACATGACAACAGTCGGTAGATTCTATAACATCGTTGTTATTTGACATGGTGTCAGAAACTGAGGAATGGTGGATGTGAGACGCATGAAAGATACAGTAGCATTTGAATCGAGTGATCTTGGGACAGAGCACAGGTTCGTTACAAATGTCTGAAATGTTTATGTGTGCTGTGACTCATATCAGTAGGTCTGTAACATATGTGTCAGTAGGTCTATAGAATATGTGTATTTCAGACATTTATAACGAACCCCTGTTGATCAGTGCAGTGTAACAGACGATATTTCTGATAAATTGCATGAGCGTTAAAATTGTTTTGCCGGCATTGGTGATTTCAACCGATGTGCATTTTGTACGATATTGCAGACATTGGTCTTGTTTTCGTTAGTGTTAATTATTTTATTTTTTATTTTGCACATAAATTTACAATGGCATTGTCAAATCTCACAATCCCCAGCGATATTTCAACAGCCGTCATGTTTATTTATATTGGATATTGTAGTTCCGGTCATTGTTGTATTAATACGCTAAGAATTGTGTCTCGTGATGCATGGTAATTAAAGTCCCATCAACGACACAGCTTTCAAAGAGGCTATATAGTGATAATGCCATGCAAATGTAAATATTTGCTGATGAACATTTTTTGTATGTTATGATGAAGCAAAGTTGTTCATAACTTAACACGGAGTCAACTGACCAAAGGTCAAGGTTACAGGTTCCAAAGGTTCAAGGAAACAAGACTCAACAAAGTACATGTAAAATGTATATTTTGCTTCCTTGCGATTTTTTTTGAAGTCCAAATGTCAAACGTCAAGCTCAGCTATATGGGCAGATTGCTTCTTGATGATTATGGGGGATATATTGCCACAAGACGGGCCCTTACTGACCTGTCAGTGTTCTAGTTTCACCTACGTTGACCGAACTTGCTAAAGTTTTAATGTATCTTGGGTAGTAGGAGCGTCAAATTCTAGATTTGGGTCTCGTGCCCCTCTATATAAAGCGGTATGGCTCTTTGTTAATTTTTTATACCGAAGTTTTCTATTGGCTTATAAGGGTAGACATATGTTTTTGTTCACAAAAACAAAATTCTAGTTTGTAGATAATTTCCATATCTAACTTTTTTTCATTACATGTTAATACAAAATGTTTCAAATAAAAAAGCTCGCTGTCGGGTCAAAAGTCACAATTTAAAAAAAAAAAATCATTTTTCACCTTCTTTTTTTTAAAATTCTTCTACCGATCGATGAAAAATGCCATTACGGTGAATTTGATGTCTTCAGTTTTTCTGTAACATTTACCGTTAACGTTGTACGCCATTTTGAAATATTTCCTTTGATCTTTTAAAAACATCGCAATATTACAAAACTTGTTTTACTCCAATATCAATGACGAATATTTCATTCAATTGTAATGGAAAAGGTTTCCCCAGATGTCCTTTAACATTTGGTAACATTTTCAACTTCATCGGAAAAACAAAATGGTCGCCATGATGTTGCACTCAAATTTTTTCTAATTGCAATACCTCATTAACGGATGAATGTATTTGATTCATCTTTGGATATGTTGCACAGAATAACAAATAAATAACTTTTCTCTGTAAACATTTTTTTTTTTAAATCTTCTTCTCAAATTCCACGAGGTCTAGAGTCTTGATATTTCATACTTAGGATGTCGAAATGATTGATCTTGATCAGCTATCAAGGTCACAAAGGCCAAATGTTTAAAAAAAAAATAAAAAAAAAATAGTCAATAATATTTCGAAAATTGTTGGATGGATTCACTTTATATTCAGGTATGATGTGGACAACACAAATGCGCACATTTTTGGCTGAAATTATTTTGAGTTGACCAAGTCAAGTTTTGAGTTATTTAGGGGTCAAATTTCATTTGTGCTATTTCAAGATAATGACTTCAAAAAACTTCTTCTAAAGTTCTACAAGGTCTAGAGTCCTACTATTTCATACATAACATGGTCAGGTGATTGACTATCAAGTTTAAAAAAATGATTGACCTTGAATGACTTTCAAGGTCACAGAGGTCATATGTAAAAATATTGAAACCACTTTTTCTGGATAACCAATAATTTCAAGGTAACGATGTTTGGCAAGAAGCATGCTTGAATGAAGGGCTTTAAAGTTTGTGCAAATGAATGATCTTGACCCACTCTAAATATAATTTCAAAGGTGAAAGTCAAAAAACGTTTTCATTTTTGTGCGATTGTGAAGTGTTCTCAGGACTCTCAGTACTTTGATTTATATGAAGACATCTAATACACGCTGGTAATACTACATCGATTACTACGCACTCTTAATCTTAAAAGTAGGGACAGTTTACATCTCTACTGCGATGGGTAAACATCAGCCTTTCTTTGGCATGGCAAACCGAACCAATACAGACAAAATAGCTAGTTTCAATTCATCATCCTGATGTACATAGTTGAAGGACTATATGACTTTTACGGACTACCTTCGTGCAAAACACCGCCCATTGGCTATTTATCCATTCTTTCTCAGCTGACGTCATTTCGCACTCCGGAAACCCCCCACTATTCAGTCAGCTACTGTAGACTTGGACAAGTTATTATTAGAAGGCCAAATCATTCCTTACAGTGAAAAGACCGTCAAATTGTTAGCCAACAATTTCTAGTTATTTGTGTCATTTTTCACCTTTTTGGGGGTCAAAAATAAAAATTGCTTCGGTTACACTAAATATATAAAATAAAATAGCAATAATGTATAATTTTCCGCTTTGTTGCATGTTATTTTTATCATATTGAACAATATAAAGTTGTACAGCAAAATTGAACCTGCTACAATTAAAAATGGCGACACAATGAGAATTTAAGTGATCAATCTAGTGTCAAAAAAGGTGAAATTTTGGCCTTTTGTGAAGTGCAAGAAATACACATAAATACACATTTTCAAAACGACCCCTGAATTGGTCATTTTTTTAAATTCTTGTAAAAAAAGTTCTACAAACAACAGGCTTCTAGTTTTTTGACATATTTTTCAGATGCGTGTTTGCTATTAAACTTGATCACAATTTATTAAATATTACAAAAACCCATTACACCAGATCAAAACGAGACATGAATGTGATTTAAACCTAAGAAGAGTACATCCTTAAGAGGTATTAGTTAACTGAAGGTGTAAATAACCTTAGGTATTTTCTACAGGGATGCACTTCTAAATTAAAATCAAAATAATACAGTTCACACTTATGTTCTTCAAAAACAACTAAAATTAATCTGAAAGTAAACTACAAATTTATTTACAATCAAACAACAGAGAAATGTCAGTCAAAGTTGGCAGTTTCGCGTGAGGGTGTGACCATGAGGGGTAAGGAAGTCGATGTGTCCTGGCCCGACCCCACACTCACACTGGACTTGAAGGTCAGTCTGGCCTTAGGTGGGCTCTTACTCTGTTTCCACTGACACATAAACTTAACAAATTCCATGCGAAACCGTTGGCCCGTCAGACAGTACAAAAAAAAGTTAATAGAGTGATTGATGTACATAAGAACAAAACAGATAACCTTGCCGAGGACCTGGTAACCCAATTCGTCCAAGCTCCCTGGTTTGCCTTTGACAAGTCCATACACAGATCGTGGTAGTGTGGTCACTATCCACACAAAGGAGATAACTAGGAGAGTGATAGCTAGACGACGATGTCTGTAACGAGCAACGCGGTCATCTTTGGTCATGTTGCTGAAGATGCCCTTGTTGCGTACAAGTGACACGACGATGAGCGAGTTGAACACCAATAGGATAACGAATGGTAGAAATGAATAGAGGAGAAGGTTAACCCAGGGAAACACATTGCACACAAAGTTCTTGTAAGCGTAGGCTGCACATATATCCTGAGACCCCTCTGGTCGCGACGGGTCAGTTAGAAGCTCTGCTGTCCAGAATAAATATACATTGACCAGCGCGAAGGTCAGAGCTATCATAAATGTGACAAACTTGGCACGAGAGAGGCTACACATTCTGTTGGCCCGCAGAGGAAACCAGACGGCAAGAAACCGCTCGATTGTCACGGCCACAATGAGCCATGCCGAAAAGTGCAGTGAGAATTGGATAGTGAATATGAATGTCTTACAAGAGGCATTACTTATATGCAACAGTTCAAACCCTGTGATGAGTCTGATCCAGGTCTTCAAGGCACTTAGGTACAGCACCACAGTGTCAGCCACGGCAAGGGCTGCCAGGTAGAAAAACGTAGGGGTCTGTCTCATCTCCCGTCTCATCATAATGATGAAGCTAAGCACATTGCCAAAGGTGCCAATACAGACAATGACGGGGAAACCCCAGGTAATGAGCTCCATAGCAAGGATGTATCCCATTGTATCTTCCACACGATCATACCGCAGCGGGGCCGATATGTTACTTTGATTCACTGCCATTTGTTGTTGAAGCTTACTTCCTTTGGGAGAGATGTCACTTTGTGAAGATTATGCACGAAAAGTTTGTCTTCCTTTTCAGTTTACAATTTGAACTTAGTAAATATGTTATGAAGTGGATAAAAATGGTAAGCTATTGAAATTTGACGATTTTTTCATTTTAAAAAATATTTCCACATCCAACTGTCTGTTTAAATGTGAACTCTGGAATCTATTCCCACGTCTAAAAGAATGCTTGCTTTTTAAATCAATTTTATGTGATTGTCATTGAAACAGTGCTAATGGCTATATAATGCCAGTATTGTTTGCAGGTCTGTCGTTACAAATTCCTGGCTGATGTAGGGAGTGTGAGGCCACACCAACAGGAACCACTCTTTTGATCTGAAACCAAACACAAATTGAAAGTACTGTTAAAACCTTATTGATTTTCTCTCATTGCATCTAATATTGTTATCTGGTGCCTGTCAATAAAGGTAGGGGCTCTCAGTGGCTACCTGGAGACCTCTGCTGGACCTTCCATAACTTAGGTGGTCACCGGAAACTGACCATGCACTCCTAGCAGATGGACATGGCTTTCCTAAACAAACATTATACTGCTGATAGAAAGAAGTCCTAAGAGGCTTGGGACTAGAGTGCTACCATATTGCTCTGTGCCATTGTCTTAAGGACATATGTTACCTTTCTTTGATATGCACCTCCTTTCCAAAAGAGTTTCACATTAATGGGAAACTACTTAAATGCAAATCACAGATAAAATAGGTAATGTAGCAAATAATTTTTTTTTTAGTTTGCAGATTTTAGAAACAATACCTACAGCTGGAATTTTTGATAAGGTGCCTTTATCACTTCTAAAATCACAATTGGTGGTTATACACACATTGTAAACAAATGATTTGATGATGTTACTACAATACAAAACAGCTTGAGTATCAGGATGAATCAATGTGTTTTATATGTAACAAGTGTACATCTGTTCCCATTTAAAACTTAAAAAGCTTTTAATTATTAGGTCAGAATGCTGGTACATGAGTTATTATTGATTTCCTGTGTAATCCATTTCTGGTCCATTTTACTGTCACCAGGTATGTAATAGTAATGTATTGCTACCATTAGTATTCAAGGAGGGTTAGTTACTTACAACGTTAGAGAAGTAATATTACCATAATACTACATACTATTACAACTACATTATCATTAAAGTAAGAGCATGGAATGATATCCTGAGAACAAGCAGTCAATAAACCTGCTGTTGCTTCATGATGTGTTATGGTGTAGGGAGTCCCGATATCCTATTGTCCTCTAATAAGTTAAAAATTCCATAGTTGTCAATAATTAGCAGGCCAACATAAGGGCAAAAACAGTCATAGAAAATAAAAATAAAAAATAGACTTTTATGAAAACCAGACTTCAGGAGCTCTTCACATTACACTAAGTATTACAGTATCGTTCTAAATATCATAATAATAGCAGCAACATCAGAGCTGCACACAGTATAGTATTACAAAAATATATCAGAACACCGCTGGTATTAATAAAGTGGCATTATCAGAACTGCACAAAGAATTTAGTAAAATTGGAGTACCTGCACCTACCAGAGAATTTCACGATATTCAATACATTGACAAAAATGGTAAGATTTGTAGTCACAGATAAATGTTTTTTTCAAAAAATATCATGGTAGTCACATGAATTCGGCATTAGTAAGACATGACCAGTTAATGCTCGTCGAACCTGTTTATTGATTTATATAATAAATGTCAGCTTATTTTTTTGGCGTGGGTAAAATATTATCTGATAATCAACTGCCAAAAAAAATATAGTTTATTAAAATTATGTTAAAATAAACCATCAGTCTAACTGTTTTTCAAGCTTTGATAATTTTCAAAATGTATTGTAAAATTTAACATCTTATGATATGAAAGAGATTACTTACATAACAATGTCCTTGTCATCGGGTAGTAGTATGGAAGTTTCCGATGGTAATCCTGTCGTTAGTTAGGGGTTTCCTGTAGTATCTTCCTGTTAATGTCGGAGAGATCTTCCAGGGGTATTTCTGTTGGTAGTAGTTTCCAGTGGTAATCCTATTGGAAGTTGAACAGTTCCAATGGTATCTCTGTTGATGATGTAGTAGTTTAATTTCCAGTGATATCCTGGAGGTCATGAGTCAGTTTCCAGTGGTACGACACTGTCAATGAATTAGCAGTGAGTAGGTCGTAAAACTTAACCCGATCTTTACATGTCAAGATAAGTTTATCTTTTAAGGAAGGTTAAATTGAAGAACAGTAATTGTGCTGATGCCTTTGTTAAGCCAGTAACTCTGTGACGGTAAATGTCATTATTACCGTTAGTAGGTCCTCCTGGCTGTTGGTATGGTAACCCTTTACATTTCCATTTACAGTCACTAATTAGTTTTGAAATAAGCAATGAGCATTGCTCAGATGTTATACCAAAGCCTCATAAAGCATGTTCCTACCTATTGTCCACTTTCTGTGAAGGTCCATCAGTCAGTGATAAGGAACAGCCACTGGTGTTTGGCCAGTGGTCTCTCTGTGGATGAATGTGTGGACCAGCAACGAACTATGGGGCCTAGGATGGTGTGTGTGGGTCAAGGGTCTAATTAGCATTAGAAATTTTGGGTTTTAATGGATTGTGGGGATCCAGGGTCTGTGTGGGGTTGTGGGGATCTAGGGTATGTAGGGCTGTGCAGTGGTGAGTTGACACAGGAGCTGCAAATAGGTGTCAATAAAGGCATGTGGGGCTGTGAAGTGTATGTGCGTCTATGGATTTTGAAGTAAGTGAGGGTCAATTGTCTGTTGGTCTACCCTAAACCACCCATCACTTCCCAGCCCTCATTGACCCCCACAGTCCTACATACCTTAAACCCATACTTCTCCACAGGTACACCCTTGACTTATACACACCCTCCATAGCCCAACAGATCAGGTTGGTCTTCATGGTCTAGGGAGCAGTGAAAAGTGTGTGGATCTATGTGAATGAGGAATGATGTGTGCTTGTCTATCAGATTGAAGGTGTGTCAGTGAGGCTGTGGAAGTTTGGGTTGGAATGGATGTGTAGAAGAGATATCTTAAGGGCTGTGGGGCAGGAATGGTGTGGATTTAAGGTGCATGATGGGCTGTGGGGTTTGTTTGGGTCTAGGGTCTGTTGAGTCGTGTAGATCAAGGATCTGTGGGGCTAATAGGGGTGTGAGTATAGGGACTGAAGCAGGTGTGGGAATATGGTCAGTGAAGTATGAATGTCTGAAGGTTATAAAAGGGTGTTGATTTAGACAGTAATATTTTGTATGGGTCGGTCGGATTGTGGATGCATGTTTTGGTCTGGTCTATTGGATTTGTAGGGTTCTATTGGCAGTGGAGTACTATGTGGTGGCAGGGTTTGTGGAATTATCGGAGACTGTGTGGCTGTAGGGTTTGTGTCGGGCTGTGCCGCTTTATAGGGTTTTGTGTGAGATTGTGGATGTGTGTTTGAGTCTGGTCTATGGATTTGTAGGGTTCTGTTGGCAGTGGAGTAGTATAAGTTGGTGGCAGGGTCTGTGGAATTATTGGAGACTGTGTGGCTGTATAGGTTTTGGGGATATAGGGGATTATATATGGGGCTGTAGAATTATGTGATGGGAATTTTTGGCTGTAGAATAGTGTGTGGTTTTAGGGGCAGTGTTGGTATAGGGTATAGGGGCATAATGGAAAGATGTTGGCAGTATAAGGTTTGTGTGGGCTGTCCTAGTATAAAGGATTTGTGTTGGGCTGTGGCAGTATATAGGGTTTGTGTGGGGCTGTGGCAGTATATAGGGTTTGTGTTGGACTGTGGCAGTATATAGGGTTTGTGTGGGGTTGTGGCAGTATATAGGGTTTGTGTTGGCCTGTGGCAGTATATAGGGTTTGTGTTGGCCTGTGGCAGTATATAGGGTTTGTGTTGGGCTGTGCCAGTTAATAGGGTTTGTGTGTTGGGCTGTGGCAGTATATGGGGTTTCTGTTGGGCTGTGGCAGTATATAGGGTTTGTGTTGGGCTGTGACAGTATATAGAAATTGTGTTGGGCTGTGGCAGTATATAGGGTATGTGTTGGGCTGTGGCAGTTTATAGAATTTGTGTCGGGCTGTGGCAGTATATAGGGTTTGTTTGGGGCTGTGGCAGTATATAGGGTTTGTGTGGGGCTATGGCAGTATATAGGGTTTGTGTGGGGCTGTGGCAGTATATAGGGTTTGTGTGGGGCTGTGCCAGTATATAAGGTTTGTGTGGGGCTGTGGCAGTATATTGGGTTTGAGTGGGCCTGTGTCAATACATATATAAATAGAGTTCTAATGGGGCTGTTGAGGATGGAGTTGTTGGGTTTTGAAACAAAAATGGGTCTTCAGATGTATTGAGGGTCTGTCGGTCTGTGGTGGGCTTCTATATCTGTAGAAGTCTCCATGGTTTAAGTGAATGTATTATGTTGCTGAGGATACAGGGGTATGTAGTATTGTGTAAATACCAGCATTATGGAAAGTGGAGTGTTGTAATGACAATACACACATCCATTATATCAGAATCAATATACTTGGTCACCACATGGTCTTCATCCCTACACAGTTGGAGCTGCTGATTTGGCACACCCATCCCACAAAGCACTTGTCTCCAGGTATATTTGTGTGAGTTTGGAATCGCTTACATCACTGCTGTTTGAATAAACTCTTCTTCTGACGTGGAATCCTTAGAAATCATGTGTTGAGCATTTAACCTAACCCTTTTTGCATCAGTAACAGCATGCATGTGATTGGTCTGATGAAATGTATATGCACAGAGGAAATATGTTACATTATCTCATTCACCCCTGAAATTTCCTAATAAAATATTCAAATGTGTCTACAGGGATGAATGAGCTAGTTTGTCATGGTGTCACGTTTACTAATTGTTGTTGAGGTAAATGACCTAATATAGAGTTGATACAACCTGTAATGTTTCCGGCTCAGGCTGACACAGTGACAGCATAAAGGCTATGTTTACACAACAGAATAATAATTAGTACATAAAGGCTGACATTGCATGTTAAGAAACATCAACACATTTCATGTTAAGAAACATCAACACATTTCATATTAAGAAACATCAATGCAATGTCAAAAAATAAAAAATGAATAGTTAAAACATAAATCAATTTAAAGCAAACATCATAAACAAGAGCAATGGTACTGTATTTTTTTCTTTGATTATTTGTGCAGAATCCACTTGTGAAGCACAATCATTATAAACCAGAAATATCTTGTCTAATGTAAAATTAATAGTAGCCTAGTAATCATTATAACCAAGTGGCATTCTAATTGGAGTTGGAAGTAATGACTGCTTGGGCAGAGAAGAATATTTGATACATAAGGAAATTGAATGGTTTACTGGATTAATGTTTCTTCACAATAATGATAAAACTGTCAGTATAAAATGGCGAACAAATAAAGTATGGACAATTTTACCCATCATTCCTTGTTATACAGGTGATTGCCTCAGAGCCAGTGAAGATCCGTGTCAAGTTACGTGTACACTTTAGTCAGCTGTGGAATGTATGGGACTCCATTGGGGTGGCGCTGTTCACTGTGGCTGTGTTGATTCGACACGTCCAGGACACCACCAATAACGTGCGGGTCCTTTACACCATCAACATCGTCTTCTGGTACATACGCATCCTTGAGATCCTGTCCGTCAATAAATATCTCGGCCCCTATGTCAAGATCATTGGCAAGCTGGTAAGTTGATAGATTCTCGGGCCCTTCTGTCAAGGTCATTAGCAACCTAGTATCTCATATCAGGATCATTGTTGGCCACTAACACCCTAATCTCTATGTCAAGATTATTGGTAAGTCAGAAGTACTTCAACCCCTATACCAATATTGTGAGTACATCACTGCTGTGCGAAACATCCCAGCACTGTGGAACAATACTGCAATGATGAACACCTCCTTTTTGTAACTTTATGATGAACTGACAATGTTTGAATCATTATTAAACTTGAAAAATACAACCTGTTTATATTTTTATCTCATTTTTCTGCAGTCCTATAGTCATGTTGCATTGATTTTGTCGGTAAATGACCTACCTTAGTTTGATATGTGTATTGTAGCTGAGAGACATGTCTTACTTCATCATCATCCTCCTGATTGTACTGATGAGCTTTGGTATAGTGAGACAGGCCATCCACTTCCAAAACGAAGAACCGTCCTTCAAACTGGTCCGCAACATGTTCTTTTACCCATACTGGATGATCTATGGAGAATTGTTTGCTGACGAGATTGACAGTAAGTAGCTACAGTGTAGGGGCTGCCTAGGAACTGTAGCTATAGTGTAGGGGTTGCCTAGGAACTGTAGCTATAGTGTAGGGGTTGCCTTAGGAACTGTAGCTATAGTGTAGGGGCTGCCTAGGAACTGCCTTAGGGGTAATGGTTGCTGATGAGATTGACAGTATGCAGCTTTAGTGTAGGGGTTGCCTAGGAAAACAGTATGATTTAGGGGTAATGGTTGCTGACGAGATTGACAGTAAGTAGCTATAGTGTAGGGGTTGCCTTAGGAACTGTAGCTATAGTGTAGGGGTTCCCTAGGAAAACAGTATGATTTAGGAGTAATGGTTGCTGATGAGATTGACAGTAAGTAGCTATAGTGTAGGGGCTGCCTATGAACTCTAGCTATAGTATAGGGGTTGCCTAGGAACTGTAGCTACAGTGTAGGGGTTTCTTAGGAAAACAGTATGATTTAGGGGTAATGGTTGCTGACAAGATTGACAGTAAGTAGCTATAGTGTAGGGGTTGCCTAGGAAAACAGTATGATTTAGGGGTAATGGTTGCTGACTAGATTGACAGTAAGTAGCTACAGTGTAGGGGCTGCCTAGGAAAACAGTATGATTTAGGGGTAATGGTTGCTGATGAGATTAATATTAAGACAGGGAAACTGATATTTACAAGATGGTCTGTTTACAGTAGTTAGGGGATCTAGTGTGGTAAATGGGTACAAGGTCTGGTGGCACAGTGGATCGCAAACCTTCCTTTCACAAAATGTACTTGGTGAATTTCCCTGATCTTACATAAAAAGGTATGAGGTTACATGTTACTTGCCTTACCATGTTGGTTACCTCAGGGTATGAGGGTTTCCTCTTGCATCAATGCCCTCTGTATGCTTCTATTTGGGCCAACAAGAGTGATTAATATAAGTTGGAAAAATTTGTTTTATAATTGTTATAAAAAAACTGAAATTCAGATATTTATAACAAGTAACTAGGAGATACTATTGTGTACAGTAAGTAGGGGATACTAATGTTCACAGTGAGAATTAGGTGAATGTTTGAATTCTAATAACATCAAAAAGCTCTTACATAGTCTATTTATTTATATTTTAGCCTGTACAGACACCGAGCGTCACCCTGAGGGCTGCACCTATGGGTCGTGGGTAGCTCCGGCCCTGATGTGTGTCTACCTCTTGGTGGCCAATATACTGCTGGTCAACCTCCTCATTGCACGCTTTAAGTAAGTAATGGTTTGGAGCATCCTTGGATGAAGGGGAACCAATTTTGTATAAACCGTGGATCTGGCCCCCAGGGGCCTTAGGGGATGGGCCCAATAGGGGAAACATAGCAAATTATTCTTTAAAATCCTTCTTCTTCTGTAGGAATGAAAGGATTTGGTCCATATTTTGTGTGGTGCATCCTTGATTGAAGGGGAACAAATTTTGTATAAGCCTGAAGGGCGGGGCCCAATAGGGGACACATAGCAACTTTTCTTCAAAATCCTTCTTCTTCTGTAGGAATGAAAGGATTTGTTGCATATTTGGTGTGGAGCATCCTTGGGTAAAAGGGAACCAATTTTGTATAAATGGTGGGTGTGGCCCCCCTGGGACCTGAGGGGCTAGGCCCAATAGGGGAAATAAAGGTAAAACCTTTATAATCCTTCTTCTACCAGAGGGATTAAGGGATATTATCCTAATTTAGTCTGGAGCATCCTTGGGCAAAAAGGGACCTTGTTTTGTATAAACAGCGAGTGTGTCAAAATTTGGAATGAAGCACCCTTGAGAGAAGGGTAACCAATTTTGTATAAACGGTGTGTCTGACCCCCCTAGAGGCAGAGAGGCGGGGCCCAATAGGGGAAATAGAGGTAAAACTTTCAAAATCTTTCTTCTACCATAGGGATTAAGGTCATTGGAGTGTATTGGTAAACGGAAACAGGAAGTACATCCCTTGTTGAAAATCCAATGTAGGGAGACAGTATCACAATTTCCGCAAATTCTAATGTTTAATATTAAACTGATGAATATTGTATGTTTATTATTGACAAAACAGTGTGTTCTCTCAATATTAAAGTATTTCAAAGCAATCCAGGCATTAATTCAGGTTTTTTTTTATCAATGAGTCACATATGTGTCCATTTTTCTGTACTTCAGGAAACCGGCTACCTATTTCACTACTGTGAAGTTTTTCAAGAACGATAACTCTTACCTGCAATTACTATGTGTATATGGTTTTATTATAAAATGTCAATTTTTATATCGTCTATAGAGAATTAATTTTACACAATTTCAGCATTTATTAAATTGATATACATTAATGCAATACTAATATATGTCACTATCATTTTTATTGACATTATTTTGTAAAAATATTGTGTCTTTCATTTTTTTTTCAAAATTCACTCCTTTGTTGCATAAATTTCCATTTACAATCCTTAAAATTCTGACAACCTATATCTTTTTTGTGGCAGAAAATTTTCTTTACTTTAAAGCAATATAACTACAAAATTTGAAGAAATTCTGCTGAGAGATGGTGACACAATCCTATTACCTTAAGGGATTGTATTCTTATTTAGTCTGGAGCATCCTTGGGTCAAGGGGACTCAATTTTGTATAATTGGTGGGTATGACCCCCTTAGGGTATAGGGATGGTGCTCTGTTTGGAGTTTGTTCTTGCTATATCTCAAGTACTGGATGGATCTTTCTGAAAATTCATATGTACTTACAGCACCTTCCATGGAGTGCTATATCTTCACTTCATACCAATTATTTTAAACATATATTCAGGTGAGCGATACAGGCTCTCTGGGCCTCTTGTTTACCTACCCATGTCCCTTGCTCTGGTTGGCCAAATCTATGCATATTTATTAAATAGTGCTGCCGAGATCTGATAGTTTCCCGATGATCACTTTTGAAGAAATTATCAAATGGCAATGAAACTTGCCTAGTGTTTTCTTTATCAAGCTTGTCCCTGCCCAAGTTCAATTCAGTGCCAAATTCACTAATGTCAAATGAGATTGCTGCAATTTGATGGGCAAATGGTTTTGGAATGATGTCTTTTGACAGGAATTATTAGCTTTCAATGAAATTTGACTTGCTTACATTTTGACTAAGGGACTGGCTTAATGTTTGATGCTTAGAATTGGATAAAATTTGATCTTCAGAATATTGAATCATCCCCCATAACTCATGTGAATTTTTCTGTTTCAGTGCAACCTTCATTAAAAACAACGCCAACTCCAGAGAGATCTGGAAATTTCAACGATATCAGCTGATCATAAACTACGAACTTCGCCCCATCCTGCCACCTCCACTGTTGTTCTTTAGTCACATATTTCTGGCTTTTAAGTTCATGATTCGACGCTGTAAAGGCAAACGAGACCTGTTTGACAATGGGCTAAGTAAGCAATTAGTGAAGTATACAATGTTCTGTCATAATCTTAATGAAATTTATCAATCACGTTTGTTCAAGAGGACCTTGTTTATCTTGACATGTGGGTACCCAGCTCCTGTTCTACCTACATACAATATATCCTTGTTTATCTTGACATGTGGGTCACCAGCTCCTCCTCTACCTATATACAATATATCCTTGTTTATCTTGACATGTGGTTCCCCAGCTCCTCCTCTACCTATATACAATATATCCTTGTTTATCTTGACATGTTGGTCCCCAGCTCCTCTTCTACCTACATACAATATATCCTTGTTTATCTTGACATGTGGGTACCCAGTTTCTGTTCTATCTATATACAATATATCCTTGTTTATCTTGACATGTGGGTCACTAGCTCCTCCTCTACCTATATACAATATATCCTTGTTTATCTTGACATGTGGGTCCCCAGCTCCTCCTTTACCTGTATACAATATATCCTTGTTTATCTTGACATGTGGGTCCCCAGCTCCTCCTCTACCTATATACAATATATCCTTGTTTATCTTGACATGTGAGTACCCATCTGTATCGCCTATATATCACAGAATTGATTTAAACATATTTATTGCCCCAAATTTGAGCAGAGGATTAGGCACAAGTTATATCAACTTATCAACGCCTTTTCCTCTAATACAGTACATATTGATATTTACATGATAGCATTTAACAAGGCATTCATACTATATATGCCAGAACCTTGTCTGATTAAGACCTGTTGGGTTCCTGACTGTAGCTCCTCCATCAACTTTGTTGAATGGCTGTGGTTACATATGTACTTTACACCAGAATGCAGCTAGTTCATGTGATCATCTAGCTGTGGAGATCTGTCCCAGGTACAGCTAGTTCATGTGATCATCTAGCTGTGGAGATCTGTCCTAGGTACAGCTAGTTCATGTAATCATCTAGCTGAGGAGATCTGTCCCAGGTACAGCTAGTTCATGTGATCATCTAGCTGTGGAGATCTGTGTACCTATCTAGATGTTGAGATCTGTCCTAGGTCATGTTACCTGCTAGTTCATGTTTTCATCTAGCTTTGGAGATCTGTCCTAGGTACAGCTAGTTCATGTGATCATCTAGCTGTGGAGATCTGTGTACCTATCTAGATGTGGAGATCTGTCCTAGGTCGTGTTACCTGCTAGTTCATGTTTTCATTTAGCTTTGGAGATCTGTCCTAGGTACAGCTAGTTCATGTGATCATCTAGCTTTGGAGATCTGTTCTAGGTACAGCTAGTTCATGTGATCATTTAGCTGTGGAGATCTGTCCTAGGTACATCTAGTTCATGTGATCATCTAGCTGTGGAGATCTGTCCAAGGTACAGCTAGTTCATGTGATCATCTTGCTTTGGAGATCTGTCCTAGGTACAGCTAGTTCATGTGATCATCTAGCTTTGGAGATCTGTCCTAGGCACAGCTAGGTCATGTGATCATCTAGCTTTGGAGATCTGTCCAAGGTACAGCTAGTTCATGTGGTCATCTTGCTTTGGAGATCTGTCCTAGGCACAGCTAGTGCATGTGATCATCTGGCTGTGGAGATCTGTCCCAGGTACAGCTAGCTCATGTGATCATCTAGCTTTGGAAATCTGTCCTAGGTACAGCTAGTGCCCGGGATCATCTAGCTGTGGAGATCTGTGTACCTATCTAGATGTGGAGATCTGTCCTAGGTCCAGCTAGTTCATGTGATCATCTAGCTGTGGAGATCTGTCCCAGGTACAGCTAGCGCATGTGATCATCTAGCTGTGGAGATCTGTACTAGGTGGTGTTACCAGCTAGCATTGGTGACCACTCCTTAGAAGTGAATGTCATAAATATGAGAAAAACAGTTTAACTTCCAACATGAACAACAGTAGTTATGAAAATATTTGAAAGACATTTGGAAGTGTCTTGGTTGATAACTGTTCTATGATATCTGAAATTTACTACACAGTTTTGCTATAAAATGCCTCTTGGTGGTCTTTTGTACTGGGTTAGGATCTGACAGTCACTGTAATTGTATCAACGTTTATAGTAAGATGGCTGTTTACTAAGCTTGTTATACATCACTAACATCGGGATGGTGCTGTCTACTTGTAGAACTTTTCCTGTCACTGGATGACACAGAGAAGCTACATGACTTTGAGGAGGAGTGTATAGAGGACTATTTCAGGGAGAAGGAACACCAGTTCCAGTCCTCGAATGAAGAGAGAATCCGAATCATCAATGAAAGGTATGATTTCTGCAGTATAGTCCTTACCCTAGGAACAGCTAAAATTAAAACAAACCCTTCAGAGTGTCCACAAACAGGTACACAGTTGTCTAACCTCAATGTTGCCCATTAGCCAGTGAAGGACTATGCATGGATTCCCCTGCTATACTTCTCCTTGTTAGTAAGGTAATTGTGTTAAAATATGGTTGTACATGGTTGTTTCTGTGTTAAGTTATGTTTGTACTTAGTTGGTGACTTGATGTTCTTCCTGTTTCAGAGTTGAGAACATGACCCTTCGGATGGATGATGTGAACCAAAAAGAAAATTCCATCAAGCTGTCCCTACAAACAGTGGAGTACCGTTTATCCAAACTGGAGGAGATTTCTATCCAGTCAGCTGATATACTCAACTCCATGCGTAATTTTATGGCCCGAGGGGTACGCCACATCAGTGCGTCAAGTGGTACATCTAGTCACGGTCGTCTGGGCAGCCAGGACTCTATTGTGGAGGTGGCAGACTTACACATGTATGACACTCCAGCCAAGACAGAGCAGGAAGCCACGACCAGTCGGGGGACGGGACCGGACAGAACATCCGAGTCCTCTATAACAACACCTGATGCCAATGCCACCATGCGTAGTATACCCTCGCCCCTGTTAGTACATTCCAAGAAACCTGTAAAGGAGGAGCACATGCACCGCTATACTGACTTTACCAAACCCATAACCCTACAGAGGTCCGGTTCAGGTCACAGGTCGATGGACCGATCTCATAGCCAGAAGTCACGAACCCCACTGCCTCGTCTCTCAGAAAATAGTCCTGAGGCCAAAATAACAGAACCGATTGTTCCAAAGGAAATTTCTCTACAACAGCGACGAAAGGGAGGGCCAAGTGGGCCCAAACTAGTGGTGGACATAGACAAGGCTAATATTTCATCCACTGAAGATCTGACTCATATCCTCAACAAGCCACGTGGCATTCTGTTGAGGGAACACAATGTGAATGATACTAATCAATCAGCTGCTGTCTACACTACTGCTAAACTTGTAGTAGACACGACGATGACGACAGGTCAAATGACGACTGATGGCATGATTGAGGACATGTCCGATGAGGAGCAGCAGGAGATATCAAGTAAAGACCCGCCTATCATCACCACATCCTTATCCTCGTCCCCTGTACGCTCGTCTGGGCATGCAGCCACTGCAATGTACAGTGTGCCTAGTTCTATGGTGGCCCAGCTCACGCCCATCCTTACCTCACTGAGGTCCGAGTACACCACCATCACTGACGAGATTGACACATCCTGTATGATGGACAAGAGTCCGCCCGGCAGCCCCTCCACAGCAGGGGCTTTCTTCGATGGAAAGTTTGATAATAGAAAGAAAAACTCTATAAAAATGCTGAACGAGAATGCCTTGCTGAAGCAGGCAGAAGAGGTAGGTCATAAACGCATGGAAAAAGTGATCAGACACCGTTTACGACAGATCTCTCTTGACGAGAATGACAGCATCAGTGACATTGCCAAGCTTGTGGTAAGTGAAATGAACTTGACAGAAGAGGATCCGGAGGAGCAGTCAGGCCAGGAGGACGAGCCTGAGGTGAACCATTCAGATCATCATGGATCAGCGGAGAGTGTCATCATGGGTCACCTTACTACTGATATGGTAGAGATACGCATACGCAGGGCATCCACGGAGGACAAATCTGACATGACATTATGACTTTGTCAATTTTAGGTTATTAATAAGATATATTGACCATCTTTAAATGTGATTGACAGTGAACAACTGTTACCATGTTGACAGTTTTCCATGGATCAGTGAACAGTTGTATCATGGTAACCAACTGTTAATCATTGATTGTACAATGAACAGTTGGTGAAATTGTTTTAGCATTATAGCATGACATTGTGTTTCTCTTAAAATGGAGTAGTTAAGTATGTGTGATCTGTGATAGTTGTCCAGTCACATGTTACTGTAGGGTACATTGACAGGGGTTACCTATCCACTCACATGTTACTGTAGGGTATGTTGACAGGGGTTACCTGTACTGTCACATGTTACTGTAGGGTATGTTGACAGGGGTTACCTGTACTGTCACATGTTACTGTAGGGTATGTTGACAGGGGTTACCTGTACTGTCACATGTTACTGTAGGGTATGTTGACAGGGGTTACCTGTACTGTCACATGTTACTGTAGGGTATGTTGACAGGGGTTACCTGTACTGTCACATGTTACTGTAGGGTATGTTGACAGGGGTTACCTGTACTGTCACATGTTACTGTAGGGTATGTTGACAGGGGTTACCTGTACTGTCACATGTTACTGTAGGGTATGTTGACAGGGGTTACCTGTACTGTCACATGTTACTGTAGGGTATGTTGACAGGGGTTACCTGTACTGTCACATGTTACTGTAGGGTATGTTGACAGGGGTTACCTGTACTGTCACATGTTACTGTAGGGTATGTTGACAGGGGTTACCTGTACTGTCACATGTTACTGTAGGGTATGTTGACAGGGGTTACCTGTACTGTCACATGTTACTGTAGGGTATGTTGACAGGGGTTACCTGTACTGTCACATGTTACTGTAGGGTATGTTGACAGGGGTTACCTGTACTGTCACATGTTACTGTAGGGTATGTTGACAGGGGTTACCTGTACTGTCACATGTTACTGTAGGATATGTTGACAGGGGTTACCTGTACAGTCACATGTTACTGTAGGGTATGTTGACAGGGGTTACCTGTACTGTCACATGTTACTGTAGGATATGTTGACAGGGGTTACCTGTACAGTCACATGTTACTGTAGGGTATGTTGACAGGGGTTACCTGTACTGTCACATGTTACTGTAGGATATGTTGACAGGGGTTACCTGTACAGTCACATGTTACTGTAGGGTATGTTGACAGGGGTTACCTGTACTGTCACATGTTACTGTAGGATATGTTGACAGGGGTTACCTGTACAGTCACATGTTACTGTAGGGTATGTTGACAGGGGTTACCTGTACTGTCACATGTTACTGTAGGATATGTTGACAGGGGTTACCTGTACAGTCACATGTTACTGTAGGGTATGTTGACAGGGGTTACCTGTACTGTCACATGTTACTGTAGGATATGTTGACAGGGGTTACCTGTACAGTCACATGTTACTGTAGGGTATGTTGACAGGGGTTACCTGTACTGTCACATGTTACTGTAGGATATGTTGACAGGGGTTACCTGTACAGTCACATGTTACTGTAGGGTATGTTGACAGGGGTTACCTGTACTGTCACATGTTACTGTAGGATATGTTGACAGGGGTTACCTGTACAGTCACATGTTACTGTAGGGTATGTTGACAGGGGTTACCTGTACTGTCACATGTTACTGTAGGATATGTTGACAGGGGTTACCTGTACTGTCACATGTTACTGTAGGGTATGTTGACAGGGGTTACCTGTACAGTCACATGTTACTGTAGGATATGTTGACAGGGGTTACCTATCCACTCACATGTTACTGTAGGGTATGTTGACAGGGGTTACCTGTCCACTCACATGTTACTGTAGGGTATGTTGACAGGGGTTACCTGTCCACTCACATGTTACTGTAGGGTACATTGACAGGGGTTACCTGTACAGTCACATGTTACTGTAGGGTATGTTATATTAGCAGCAAGGAAATCCTTATCTGTGAGTAATGATTAGGAAATGTTTTGGGTGTCTTGTTTTGTGGTTTATACCTTTATATTGCTGGATTAGTAAGAACCTTGGTTCAGGATCATGAAAGACTTTAGACTGAAGTTCAAATTTGTGTTTGTCTGACAATTAGTTGCGGTATTACAATGTGATAAACATGCATTTGAGAATGTTGTAGATATGTATTATTTCGCATAGAAATATATTTTCTACTAATTATCTGTCCTTAACTTAAAATAGGATTGCACCATGCTCATTTCCCTTGTTTTCTTGTATGTAATTCGCACGATACAGAGCATCCAAGGTCAAGTTGGTCTTGTCCAGGCCATTTTGAACAGCTGATTAGTTTGTATAAAGAGACATGTAAAATAACTCCTTATGTAACCTGACAGTTTGTAGCAACCCCCCTCACAGGTGTACCACAAAGGTCAAGAACACTCAAGGAAACAAACATTATGTTACTCGTTAATGTTAACTTGGGAAATAGCGATTAATTTGTTATAAAATGTGTTCCTATGGATACAGACAGCAGTTTGCAGTGTCCTGTACCACTCATAGGTCTGTATTACAACATTCATTGCTAGCATGAACTTCAATAAGGAATACATTGTTTCTAGATGTGTCATGGTCATGTCTGTACTCCCGAGATTCTTGTTAATCGCATTTGAATTTTAATGAAGTAACAAAGATGGACATATCACGATTAGACAGTATGGTAGGGTTGTCACCTGTAGTGACTTTGTATTAGCTTAGTCTGATAGCCGGAACTTGGACTTCAAGTCTAAGACTGTGTCCTGATCCACAGGTTGGGATTAACACAGGGTGGTGGATTATGACATGTACCACTGGTCAGTAACCAGTCAGTGCTCTGTTTGTATAGAGTTATTTATTCAAGGAGGGCTCAGCTTTCCAAAGTCTGATTAGTGTAACAAGATGTTAATGCAAAATTGAATCGGGCATAGACCTTAATTGTCAAAGTTGTTGAAATCTCAATAATGTTGGTATGAGAATTTAAGGTAACAACTTGTGAAGCTAATCCTGCTTTGAACAGTGGACTGAGAAATGTGATATAAGTCACACCTATTAGTAGGGGACATTCATCTTAATATGATATAAGTCACACCTATTAGTAGGGGACATTCATCTTAATATGGACAAGGTGGTAAAACAGGCATGACAAAAAATGTTTTACTGAGTCAATAGTTAGGCCTGTAAAAGGTTAAAATCAATTTCAGAATAAATTTGTTTGATATTTTTTAACAAGATTCATTTCTATCCATATGACACTCATATTTTTGAGTAGCCCATATATACATTTTTTTCAAATTTCTTCAAAATTGTCCACATTAAGATGAATAACCACTACATGTAATTTCAACTTAATGTTCAATATATTTCAGAAAAAATAGTCAGATTGGACAATATTTTTTGCTTTAAGATATTTTATTATTCTCAGATGGACTTGTGATGGAGTGTACTATTTAATGACAATTAATCATTGTTATTTTTGTGATGTGTTTACTTGTGTAAAGTAATGTGTGATGGTGAGTTAGTGAGGTTTAGGATGAGTAGATTGATTGTTAAGAGGGGAGGGACGCAGTTCAAAGATTAAAAGACGGGCTTTATAGATCTTTGATGTTACTGGGTAAAGTGTTAGAGAGTCAAGTTGTCAAGTGTAAGGTTACGAGGATTGGGTAATTGTTAGATGAGAGATAATTCAGCCATCAGTACTAGTGGTTGAAGTAACAGGGACAGGAAGGAGATAATTCATTATGATACATGCACCTGTAACATATCATTGATTTGTTTTTTTCCAATCCACTGTTCTTGTTTAGGTTTATTTAATACATACCCTTATGATACCTGTACCAGGTGTTATGGTACATGTACCAGGTGTTATGGTACATGTACCTGGTGTTATGGTACATGTACCAGGTGTTATGGTACATGTACCAGGTGTTATGGTACATGTACCTGGTGTTATGGTACATGTACCAGGTGTTATGGTACATGTACCAGGTGTTATGGTACATGTACCAGGTGTTATGGTACATGTACCAGGTGTTATGGTACATGTACCAGGTGTTATGGTACATGTACCAGGTGTTATGGTACATGTACCAGGTGTTATGGTACATGTACCAGGTGTTATGGTACATGTACCAGGTGTTATGGTACATGTACCAGGTGTTATGGTACATGTACCAGGTGTTATGGTACATGTACCAGGTGTTATGGTACATGTACCAGGTGTTATGGTACATGTACCAGGTGTTATGGTACATGTACCTGGTGTTATGGTACATGTACCTGGTGTTATGGTACATGTACCTGGTGTTATGGTACATGTACCTGGTGTTATGATACATGTACCAGGTGTAACAATACATGTACCAGGTGTTATGATACATGTACCAGGTGTTATGGTACATGTACCAGGTGTTATGGTACATGTACCTGGTGTTATGGTACATGTACCTGGTGTAATGATACATGTACCAGGTGTAACGATACATGTACCTGGTGTTATGGTACATGTACCAGGTGTAACGATACATGTACCAGGTGTAACAATACCTGTACCAGGTGTGTATATCTATCTTTACCAGGTTTGTTATGATGTTCACCTGTACAAGGTGTGTTTATGTAATATTCAGGTCATGAAATGTTTGGATCTCACATTTGATAATGGAAAAGACAAGAAAAAAGATTGTCACTCTTTTCAAGGCTATTTGTGTGGTGAAAAAGTCTGGAAGAAAAGAAAAAGAAACTGTTGACCTACAACTTGACTCTCCCCTGTTTGGTTTAATCTGATTTCAATATGTGCATACAAATCAGAGGTCAATATTATTAATTGATTTAATCATGTGTTCATGTTTTTAAAGCTTGCCAACTTTTTAATGGTTTTAATTGCTCATTCTTTTGTTTTTCACTATTTTCTGAAATAATTTACTTTGAGATATTTTTATAGGTGCATGAAGCTGCATAACATTGATAATATAATGATTTTCAAATTTTTGTGAAAAGGAATGAAGAGGGAAATTTGACT